AGAATCATCAGTTCAGGGGCAAATGGAAAAGGCCTTGAGAAGCAGCCAGGGCTTCCAGCTTTGTGGTCTTCTGCAAGAGAAGTGATCTGCACAAAGTCAAAAGTCCCGCCATCGCCTGCCACTGACTCATGATGTTTCAAGCAAAGACAAAATAAAATAGCTGAAATACCATCACCACTCCAAAATTAATATCTTTAATATTAAACACAGAAAAGAAATGCCTTTCACCACAAGCAGCATGATGTTTGATGACTATATTATTCATTTGCTGGGACTGCTCTAACAAAATATCACAAACCAGGTAGCTTGAAAACAGAAATTTATTTTCTCACAGTTCAGAAGGCTAGAAGTTCAAGATCAAGATGTTGGCAGGTTAATTCTTTCTGAGGACTGTGAGAGAAAATCCGTTCCATGTCTCTCTTCCATGCTCTAGTGGTTTGCTGGAATCTTTGGCATTCTTTGGCTTCTGCTGTCATGTCCCTTATCAGTGTTCTCCTTGTATGTGTGTGTCTGTTCAAATGTCCCCTTTTTATAAGGACACCAGTCATAATAGATGAGAGCCCATACTCTAGTATGATTTTATCTTAACAAATTGCATCTGTAATGACCTTATTTCCAGTTAGGTCACACTCTGAAATACTGTGAGTTAGAACTTCAAAATATGGAGTTTTGAGTGACACAATTCAACCTCTCACAGTGAGCCTTAAATTTGGCATGCAGTAACCCAAGTATTGTTATTGGTCTCCTCCTTGTGATATTTTCATGATGTGCATAAGTTCATTCCTCAGGCTGACTACACTTTGTGAGAAGAGCTACTCTCATTATGTATTTGATGTTTACCTTCAGGTTCCCCCAGGCCCTTGCATTCTGGTCAACCCTAAAACAAAGGGTTTGAGGTGTTTGCACTAGGCTATTTTTGTACTTCGTGTTAAGGCAATTCCAACCTTTCCGCTCTTTGAGAGCCAAGAGTCTTTGTCATCTGTCATCCTTATTATTTGAGGTTTGTTACAAGGTCATGGTTTTGACTTCAGTAGATTTGAGCAGCCCACCAGGTGCTCTGTTTGGGTTGATAGAAACTAGAGGAATGTATTACACTAGAGGAATCTCTAAAAGCTACTTTGTAGGGATTCTACTGCATAAGATAAATACTCATTTGCCTAGAAGAGTTTATATGCTGTTATGAGTAAATATTAATGACTTCTGGGGCTCTAAATGGTCATGATTTTAGAGATTATTTAGATATGTTAAGAAAAAAATTAATTAAAAAAGAAACAACACTCGGCTTTTTTTTTTTTTTTGGAACTTATTAGACAGAAACAGTTTCATAAACTGAAGTCTTACTTCAGAAAAGTTTTAAGTTCCCCACATCCACAGGTCCCATACATATTCATTTACTCACATATTGTTAATTCTTGCCTCTTTTGGGTCTGGTGTCTCCATCCTGACCCCCAGCCCTTTTGCCCAAAGCAATCTGTTCTTTTCTTTAAAAATAGCAGTTTCCATGACTGGTGAAGAAACAGAGAGTGAAAAATCAAAGACAGTGTGATATTATAAGGTTTGAGAACTTTTGGGAGGCAGCTGGAGAGAAACTGGGTGACTTTTCAGGCTGGTGAGCTATATATATATACTGAAGCTAGTAAGCTAGCCTAGTAGCCGTAGCACCAAACCAAAAGACTAATCCTGACTACTGTGCATTAAGCTTTTGTGACTAATCTTGAGTCAAAGTGTAAATATTGTTTAGAAAGTGATTGTTTTCTTTTTAAAATATATGTTCTTGAAAGGTTTGCTGCATTCTTAACTGAGAAGTCATCATTCCTAAGAGTCAAAATATTTCCTAAAGGAACGGGTGTCTAATGTGGCATTTACTAAAACTCATAGAGAAAACGTCTTTCAGTGGCTTTACAGGAAAATATTCAGGAAGTGACCTATTCTGTAAAGTGGGATATGTCTGCATAAAATGACACCTTCTCTCTCCTTTTCAGCACCTTTTGTTTTATGGAAACAGGGGGCCAGTTCGAGCCTTCTGAAATCTCTTATAAGCTCAGTAATTTAACAAATACTTTGCACCTTGAAAGTGGGACAGGAAGGAAAAAGAAAAAACAAAGTTCTTACTTCCAATCTCATTAATGTAAAAAAGTTGGTCCTATGTGCACACCTGGTAGAGAGAAAGTTGAAAACAAATCAGAAGCACTTAAATGAAACTTGGAATAGATGTTCTTTAACCATCTGTTTCTAATCTACTCCATCATATCTTACAAAAACTTTAAGGTTTTTTTTTTCCCAGAGGTGGGGCAGGGAGGAGAGCTGCTGTAATTTAAAAAAAAAAATTTTTTTTTAAGATGGCAATTGGTTAGGCCTGGCAATATTTTTTTGTATTGGATTTTTATGTGAAGAATGTTTAACTCTATGGGCTTTGAGAATCGAAACAGTTCTCTGAATAGTAAAAATCTTAGCATTTATATATTTTCTTCATTGTCCAGCCTCATCTCTTTATACCAGTTTTATTACAACAGCTGCCTATGTGATCTCCCAACTTCTAGCCTCTCTGCCTGCACCCCTAAATCTTCCTATATAACACTTTCAGTTTCATTTTTCCAAGACATCCATTTTCAAGAGCCTTCCTTGTTGTCTTCGGTTTAAAGTCTGAAACGCATCGCCTAGTTAGTGTCCAGGGCTCTCTGCTGTCTGACTACAAAACTGCCACTGCAGCCTTATCACTTCCTATTCATCTCAGTGACCTCTCTATACCAGCCACTAATCTGCTCAGCCTTCCCTATCAAGGGCTCTGCTTTGCAATCTTCCTGCCTTTGCTTTTGTTGTTTTCCCATTTCTTCCCTCCAAATCTTTCCAGCTCTGCAGCCCACACACATATAGTACTTACCGTCTGTCTATTCTGTATCGTTTGGCAGCTAACCATACATTGCCTTGAATAGATGACTTTTCAACTATTTACATTTTGTCTCTTCAAAGAAGTTTTAAATTCCTTTACCTCAAGTCTTGCTTATATCACACCTCTGGTGGTCTCCGTAGCATCTAAAGCAAAGGCTGTTATGTAATAGATACAAAATAATATATTGTGATGGATTGATTTATCCATCCATGTAGTGGGACTTATAAAATATTTCATATTAGGTGCTTCAACTTCTATTTTGGCAAAAATCCTGAAAGTAATTGATTTAAGAACTCAGTTGATACTGAATGCCTAACAAATTAGCTATCAGCCTATGTTTTTAATAAAAATATTTCAAATACACTTAATTTTTCCTTTTAAGTGCAGCCAAGAGTAGGATAAGTGAAGAATTTCATCTTTCCATTGAATTTGGTTATGGGTCGATGAGACTTTGATTAAGATCATGAAATCTATGTTGGCGTGCCTTCAAGAAGGAGGCCATCATACAGATGGCACAATCGAGAGGCATAAATCTGTAGAAAACAATCTGCAAGGAAAAGGCTAGAAATGAAATGTTTAACTGCTTATACAGCTGGGTCGATAGGAATAAAAGCACTCAAATAATCAAAGAGTAAATAGCAGGGTAAAGCTTTCAAAACTTAGCCCATAAATTTAAGGTTAAACCTTAAATTTATTATCTTTTTTTTCCCTTAAACTTGAGCCTTCTTTCTCCACTAAACAGCACTTTATTTTCCTCCTGCCACCACTTTTTTTTTTTTTTCCCCTAAAACTCTGGAGAGATATCCTATAATCCACGTCGTAGAAACTGGTCAGGGTTAGACAATCTCAGAAGTTTCTTCCAGCTTTAATATTTTGTGTTTCTGGAGTTGTTTTGTGTCCCATCTGAGTGATGGTAGGATGGCTGGGGATGTGTTTTAAACATCAAAACTATTTTGTATTAAGTTCACAAAGTTACTGTAAACCAAGCTTGATTGTAACCCCACGAATAGAGGCGGACAGAAAGGGAAAGAACAAATTGGCTCGGTCTAGTTTTACAACTCCCAGCCCATAAATTCTCTCCAGGAGGATATCAAACTACTGAGCATTACATCATCAGCAAAAGCATTTTCAGGCTAGAAGGAACTCAGGAAGTGGAGCCGCCGATGGAGGCAGCTGTCTTTAGAAATCAATCATTTCAAGGGCTCCATGAATAGCACGAAGTACCATCCAATAATCACTTCTGACTGTCTGTATCAACATCTTAAGAGTTTTGAAACTATTAAGCTTTTTAAGATTGCAGTACTTGTTTATTCCTAAGAAGAGAAGGGGCAGGTCGGGGGAAAAAAATTAAGTCTTGGATCTTGTCTCCTAACTATTTTTTTTTGCTCATTCCTTGCAAAATGCAGCTTGACTTTTTGTAACAATGTTTGCATTTAAACTGAATCATCATTGTCCAGAAACAAATGTGGTCTTTTAATATTATTTGGAGAACAGCAAGACTTCAGTGAGTTGGTAGCAGTACAATAGCTCACTCAGGCTACTGCAGTCTAGCTGCAGACATGTTAATTAATATATTTCTCTGACACCTAGGTGATTGAAATAGCAATTAAAGAGTAATTAAAATGTTTACTTCTTGTAGGAATGTCAACTAAGATGTGGAATATAGCAATTACCTATGACGGATTAGAGGAAGATGATGAGGTCTTTGAAGTAATTCTGAACTCCCCTGTGAATGCAGTTCTTGGCACAAAGACAAAAGCTGCAGTGAAAATTTTGGACTCAAAAGGAGGTATTCTTTTGATCCTCATCTTGAAATCAGGAGCGATCCTGGCGCTGTAGCTGCTTGCTTTCAACAGCCAATGTGCTTGATAACGCCTTCACATCAAAATGCTTAATTTCTTGTCAAGAAAGCAACCTCAGTCATGATGTAGGCTCTTTATTCTGTTTTCTGCTTCATGTGGTTTTCCTCCTGCTAGGAACTACTGGTTCAGAAAAGCAACAAGTCGGTGCTATAGTTGGTTTTTTTCCCTACTCGTTTGTTGTTCTCACCAAGGGGGAAACAATGTTGGTGAGAATCTAAGGACAATTATTTTCCCCCAGAGTTTGTAGGGCTGTAATTATCTTCCTCTGTTAAAGAGAGCTCTTAATGCCTAAAATCTAAGCCCCCTACTGGAGTGTGACCAGGAAAGGTCTAAAGGAGGAAGGAATGGAAGAAAAATAGATGTGAAAGATGCAGCTGGCTTGGGGATTCAGGAGCAGCTGGAGAATATTAATGAATAACCTTGGGCTGCAGAGCCGAATAGGTCCTGGATAGTAATGTGCTAAAGAACAACCTGTGAACTAAATAAAACAAAGACCAACCGTAGTCCTTGGTGCTCTGATTTTTTTCTGCAAATACCTTCTACTTATTTGTCTATGTATCATTTTACAATTGTCCAGTTTCTATGCTCTCTCTTATATTTCTGTTTTTATACCTGTCATATCCTTTTCCTGTATGTTTTCCTTACTTGAAATCTATTATCTCTTCTCTTTCTCATCCTTTAATAAAAATGGACACTATTCTCTTTCTTTTATAATACTCATATTTCCACAACGTCTCTCCCAACCACCTTTCATCACTAAATTGATTCCTTTTTCAATAGAAATTTCTGTTCACATTAAGTACATAAAATATATGAAGTACACACTTTACACTTAAAGTATATAATTCCAGATGGGGGTTCTGGGTTTAGATTTTTTTCACACTAATTGGTAATATTTCCAATAGAAGAACTTCTGTTAAGATTTAATAGATCTTTGTTCCATAGCAGTTGAATGCTAATATTTATTTGTTATTTGATTTCACTGGTATCTTCAAACAATTCCAGTTTCTACCTCTAGGAGACTGGGGAAAGGATGATCACCTCGAAGTGTTTGTGGAATGATACTTGTTGAGTGAATAAACCTGCTAGATTGAAGAGTACTATAATATGAAGAGAAGTGAGGCTGCTATGGCATAAGGATATGGTGTGATTATAAAATCATGACAATGATTTTAATTTGTGGTTTATGAAATCAATTTCATGACTTTATAATCACCCTGCAGATGTGCAGAAGGGCACAGCTTTCCTGGATGGAAATTGATGAAGAGTAAAGGAGTTTCTGGCAAATGGCGAAAAGGCAGCATCTGGCGGGAAAACCATCTATCTAAGTTTAATGACAAGCTGCTCCAGGGGCTGTGTCAATGTGATCACTTATTTGTTTGTATAAATGAACTGACCTGCCATCTTGCCTCCAGGACAGTGCCATCCTTCATATTCCTTCAACCCAAACAAGCACAATGCATGGAAGAAGGGCATTTGGCCCCCGCTGTCCCCGGGGTCTTCCTCACCCACTACTTCTGGTTCCTTTCATCTGGAAAGAAGACCTTTTCCATCTTCCAAGCGGCTAGCAGTCACCAGGGGAGACACCATGCGGGGCTTTGATTCTACAGATCTTTATGGAATAAAGCTTAGGATGCGAGGGAATGGCAAAACAGTAAGGATGGGGTCCTTCGGGAATTTGGTGTGTGAAATACACATTAAAAGAATCAAAAGATATTAACCAGTATTCTGAAACACTGAAGAAGCTGTTTGGATTCTCATAGTGAGTGGGGGCCATGGTTCCTTACACAATTATGCAGTGCCTTTTGTATATAAATATCATAATGCTGTCCTACTTCATTAATTGTACTAATTGAAGTGATACATATACTGACTCATCTGTTGATTTCTATTTTGGTTGCTTTTGTGATGGAGACAGGGGATGACCAGTGACCCTGGAATAGAATGAGACTAAGCAGTTACTTGGGGGTGGCAATCATGGCTTTGACCTTATTAGCATAGTGCTCTAACCCGGAACGCAATCTTGTGTGTGCGTGCATGTTTTCTTGGACCTCTGGGCATCATAGATATACCAACAAAATAAGGATATCTTTTCTCTTTAACTGGGGCTATGAATCAACATTGATAAGTTGTGATTAGGTCTAGTGATTTTTAAAATTCCAATGAATAGAGCATGAAAAATCTTGAGAAACATGTTCAAAAATTTTCAGACATCAACAAGATCTTACTAAAAGGATTTTACCCTGTTGCTAATTATCATTAAGCCAATTTTGCTTATATTTTGTTCTCTGTTGATTTCAGGTTCATCCATCCTCTGTTTATAGAAATGAAACAGATATCATCTATAATGTAAGCACAGTCTGAGAGATTTGCTAAATTTCTTGTATTTATAGGTACAAAATATTTAGTGAATTTTTTAATGCCTTTTATCAATTTCTCTTAAAATTCTGTTTTGAAATTTGTTTTAGAGGCTTGGATAGTCAGAAAAAAAACAATTTTGCTTTTATCAAATTTTTGAATTGCTCATTTTTGCAACAAATGTTTTGTTTGCTATCTTGATGTTTGCTTTTTTCTTTATTGTTGTTTATTGATTTCCTCAGTATCATGGAATGGTTTCCCTGCAACTGGAGGATGACAGGACCCCAACTCACAAAAGGAAGACCAAAATATCCATTATTAGTCAGCCACGAAAGACAATCAAAGTAGCAGAACTGCCTCACGCAGATAAGGCAGAATCCACAACTGACTCACACTTCCCCAGACAGGTATGAAGATCTTTTTACTTCCTATGCACCTTACAACAAGCTGTTTGCTGGGCCTTCAAGCTTGGGGAGAGTTTACTCAACACAAACGCTACTCAACAAACAAAGACCTAAAGGAGGTAAGTATGAGATCAACATACATTGTCAATTCTCAATTGCCTTTCCTTCCCACAGAACCATTGGCCTTCATTTCCAAAGAACTGCACAATGGAATTGAAGGGACTCTTCCACTTTGAAGAAAGACTCCAAAAGCTATATAAGTGCAATGGGGTTGCCTGGAAAGCTTGGAGCCCCCAAACCAAGGTGAGACACAGGATGAGCAGCCAGATACCTTTACTTGCAGTATACCCTGTGATAAGGTAGCAGAGAGGCTTCTCTTCATCGGCCTGCCTTTATTACACTTTGAAAGAGAAGAGGGAAAAAAAATGGCCCCAGTAATGTTTTAAATATCACAAAATACATTAGTTATATCAATACATTTTAAAAAGAATTTGTTTAGCAATGAGAAAGTCACAGGTATAAAATTGAAACATTGCTAACTTTAGTATTGTTTCTGTAAGAAGCCATTGCATTTCTTAAGGTGGAGAATTGGGATTAGCGCTGACCTCCTTTCTGGTGAAAAAACTGCTCTATTCAATTTAGGGGACTCCTAGGACTCTTTATGCTGAGACTTTAGATTGTAAAGACCATTATGATATAAACACGGACAACTGTTTTTCAGGAGGTGGAAGACAAATCCTGCCCAGCTGGGTGGCACCATCATTCAGGCTACTGCCACTTCTTGATCACAGAGCAGAAAGGCACCTGGAACACAGCTGCCCGAGCTTGCAGGGAACAGTAAGGAAATTTGTTTCACATTTGACTATTTTTCTACTGTTTCTCTATTATCTCATGGAACTATAGAATTGCTTCCTTCATTCAAGTGTTGAGTGTCTAATATCTACCTGACATTGCTTTAGGAGCCCAAGGAGAGTCTGAAGTTCAGATCTTTGATGTAGCTCTTTTATGTTAAAACTATATCATTGCCACAATATTATTTTTTAGCCTCTCTATCTCAGTCTTTTGGGGAAAGAAGAAACTTTTCTGAGTCAGCAGCATTGCAGGTTATATCAATTTTTTAAAATATCAAATAGGAATTCCTGCTTATTGATTTGGAAACATAACAGTGAAAGATCACATAGCATCAGACCTATGGCAATGTAAGAGGCATTGATGCTTATGAAACCAGACAAGTTGGACAAAAGGCCATTGGGTAATGGAACACTCGATGAAGGATGACTTGTGGTCCAATTATGACAATAAAATTTACCTAGTTCAAAAAGACTTTAAAAATGCATAAGTAACTATCCTTGACCGCACCCCCCCCCTTTTTGCCCACCTGGATATTATCCAAAATAATGCAATTAGACTAATATGCCACATGGCTGGAAATTGACTGGTGGATATTGATCAGACCTTGTACTTTATCAAATTTAAAAAGTTATAATCATCTAAAAACACTAGTAAGAAAATGAAAGAACAAACCACATTTGAGAAAAGCTAATCTCAAATCATATATCTGATAAAGTTCTCGAATCTTGAAAATTCAAACAACTCCTACAAATCAATCACAAAAAGACAACCTAATTTAAAAAAAATAATAAATGACTTGGAGGGATCACAAGAAAAGATGTACACTTGGTCATTAGGTACAAGAAAAGATGTTCAGCACCATTAGACATCAGGGAAATGCAGATTAAAATCACAATGAACTACCACTTCACATCCACTGGAATAGTTAAAATCACAAAGACTGACAATACTGACTGTTGTAGAGCAAATAGAATTCTAATGTATTGTTGGTGGAAGTGTAAAATGATACAACCACTTTGTAGAACTGTCTGGCAGTTTCATAAAGAGACGTGCATCTACCCTATAACCTACCAATTCTACTACTAGGTATTTACCCAAGAGAAATAAAAATATATGTTAAAATAAAAAGAAATAAAATAAATTATAAAACGTATAAAATAAATTTCATAAAAATTTAATAGCAAACTTTTTTTATAATAATAGTTTGGGTCATTTGTCTTTTTTGTTTTTGAGTTATAGGAGTTCTTTGTATTTTCTCCATCAAAGGAGAATACTGTAGATATTTTTCTGATAAGTTGTTTTATAAACCATAAAATGGATTGAACTACTGAAACCTCTAATAATGTGGATACATCTCAAAAACATTATGTAGAGAGGAAGCAGCCCAACATAAAAGAATATATATTGTATGATTTTATTAATATGATAGGAAAAGCTAGCATATTAGATGGTGTTAGAAATTGAAAAACAAATAAACAATCATCTCTGGCAGGAATTGTGGGGTGACTAGAAAATAGGTGAGGTTCTAGAGGGATGAAACTGTTTTATGCCTTCCTCTAGGTGGTTGTTACAGGAGATATACCACTGTCAAAATTCACTCAATTGAATACTTTAAGATTTATGCATTTTATTGTAGGTAAATTATACTTAGATTTTTAAAAAGCTAATAGAATATTTCAAAAGTGTATTTAAAAACTGGCCAAATCTTTTTCACTGAAGTATTTCTTGCCCTAAGTATAAGGAAAGATACCATAGAGATTAATCAGTGGCTTCAGGTTTTTGTTGATGAGTTAGTGGTATAAAATAAGTTAAAATGTTTTTTTTAAAATTTTATAAATAATCATTGCTTAAATACATGTATTCTCATAATGCCATATGTTAAAGAACAATTAAGACATTTTTCCACCAAAATAACCAGATGTCTTTGTTGTTGTTATGGGCCGTTGAGTCAGTTCCGGCTCCTGGCAGCTCTATGAATGAGTGACATCCACAGCGTCTTGTCCTCAACAGCCTTGCTCAGCTCCTGCAGACTCATTCCTACATGGCTTCTTTTACGGAGTCAATCTATCTCATATTTGGTATTCTTTTCTTGCTGCCTGCTATTTTCCCAAAATTGTTGTCTTGTCCAAAGAACCCTGCCTTCTCATGATGTGCCTGAAGTAAGACAGCTTCGGTTTGGTCATTTTTGCCTCCAGCGATGTTTCAGGCTCAATGTGTTCTAGGACTCACTTGTTTGTCTTTCTGGTGGTCCAGGGTTGAGATGTCCTACTTTTATTTAAAGTTCGTCTTAGAAATAGTGGGATAGGTCTTTTTTCCTCTTATGGAAAGAGCTTCGATGTAGAACCTAAGCTCTCTGAAGTAGTAAGGAGATTACAATATACTTCAAATGAGAAGATCTGATTTCTCTACTGACAAAGATGAGGGCAAGTGCAGAAGGACAGTAATACTCTAACCAAGGTT